GGTTTAGGGTTTAGGGTTCACCAGCACCCCCTACGGTTCCAGGTTCCTACAAGGGCTCGCCTAAGTCGTATTTTCTAGGAATTGTGAAGCGCTTTCAAGGTTTGGGTTGATGGTCCTGTGGTGGTTTCAAGGGTTCGGGGTTTATGCAGGGCTGAACGGGGACAGAGTGTAAGCATGCCCAGGTACTAGGTTCCTGAGTAGTACTTGTTTGCCCTTTTCTTTTTGGGTTGTACTTCTAAGGGGCAACTCAGGAACCTAGCCTGTGCCCACCACCGTCGACGCCGAGGTGGTTAAGTGGTCCACGCAGAGGCAAGAAAGCCGCGACCTGAACATGAAGCTGTCAATTGCGATTCTTAGGGGCCCAACAAGGACATAAGCGTAAGCATTTCATAGGGATATCCTTACCGTATTGGTCTTCATTATAAGGGGGTTTATATGGGATATCCGTCTCCTAATTATTGCTTATGGCTTGCTTGCGGCCCTGGATTCAGGACATGTTGAGGGCTTTCATTGGGGATGACGGCAGCCATATGCCGAAGCATAGAACTTAAAGTTTTGAATGCTTGGCTCCACCATCCACAATCCTCAGGCCTTTCTTTGGTGTCAAAGATCCCAGACCGTCTATTCCGGATGGTGTCAAAAATTTCTGGCCCTGGGACCCTACGTGCTACAATCCTGCACTCTGAAACCCTAAGCCTGGATTGTCAAATCTCCTGAACCTTCGCATCCAAAATCCCGAGCTTTCAATGTCCGAAGCCGCCTCTGCCGAAGTCAGTCGTCGACTCAGCGGAGAAGCCCAACCTACCACTTGACAAAAAGAACCAACAAGATGCACCGTGGACGGCATAACGCACAAATTACGACGGACTTCGTGCAAATGGGGTAATCTGCCGTTGTTGTGGCATACTGGCTTCTCTACACGTGCCCCTCAGAACCTCAAAGCCGAACCTGACGTGTAAGCACCCGCTTCATGAAACCAACTTGACTTTCTCACAGCGGCACAGATGATAGCTCGCATACCAGTTATGGGTACCCTACGGGCACCAGGATCATCATCATAAGCCTTTCAGTTTCAGTGAGTTCCTGGAGGAGTGATTTTGGTGCCTTAATAATTATCCATACTATTTTGGGGGGTTCCTTATTATAACTCTCGTATTTCAACTTTTAAGGCCCCTTCATTAAGAGCTTTCTTTTTGCGCCGCTCTCGTAGCAATGCAGTCCTTGTGCCCCAGGTCCTGCTGCCGACTTAGAGAAGTCCCGGGCTCAGAGCTTCGCTGCAAGCTCAGTTCCTCAATAGAGGTTTTGCTACTACTGTCGCTGCTGCGACGACTACTTTTGCGTGAGTATTCGGAGTGGCCATCATGTGAACAGCAACCATGACCAGTACTCGTAGGTGAGATGTCAGCCGTGTTCAGAACACTGGGATTGTGGGGAATGCACGTAGCAGCTCTTAGAGTTCCTACAGCGATGAAAACAAGAACCTCCGATCCTGCAAGCGGACCATTGCCCTTCTTGCGTGAGCAGGCCCAGCGGTTGGTGGGAGCTGCGCCCCCAGAATTCGATGTGCTCACGTTGTCTACTAGGTTTCTGCTTGCGGGTCGAGGTGCAGATTTATGATCCGCTTCCAGTCTCGTGTGTTAGTAAAAAGGAAGAACACCGTAAGTGCTGCCAGAGAAATTATGCGTTTTCTGTCTATGCCTGCACCTATGATGGTCTTGGTAGGGTAAAGACAGCGGTGTATTGATCAGCTCACTCTTTCAATGTCTCAATCAAGTGATGTCTGATGTAACTCAGTTTCACCCTCAATTTAGACAGCCCCGAATCCGAAGACCCACAACAACGGCTACTCTGACTGTATGGAATAAGGAGTTCAGGAGTTCTTCAAGCGAGTTAAGCCAGAGGCGGATCAAAGATCGACTTTTCGGTGCTTCTCCGGAAGCCTCAAGATCCTTCTAAGACCTGAAGTCGTAATATAGAAGCCTAAAGAATTACCAAAATCACTGGTTTAGGGTTCTCTTATTATAAGTATACTCTTAAGGAGCTCCCAAACCCTCTTCTAATTATGAAGGCCCCTACATTACACACATCTAGGGCCCAGCACTTGAGGCCCTTCCTCAGGAAGACTTTGCCCCCTGAGTTGGACCCTCCCCGGCCACGTTCCGAGATCTGGGGGGTTGCTGAGAATTAACGATAGATAGATAGATAGATATATATATATATATATTATATTATATATATATATATATGGTTGGGACCCCTCAAAAGCATCTTGAAGCCTCGGTTCACAGCCAAGAGCGCACGAAGCGCAGTTCAGCAATCTTGAGATACAGACCACTTCTGGGTTGTTCGATAGCAGAGTTCGCTTCAAGGCACGCATGGCACTATAGAGGACCTTTTTTTCTGGCCATTCCAAGGGACATCCTAATCCAGAGCCACTCCCGGTCAGATTCGGCTCCTCCAGGGGTGGTTCCCTGATATTTTCAATCGGGATCCTCGGCCATGGATAGTGCAGCAGCTTCTGACAAAACGCACTGGGAAAGTGTCGTCATTGGTGTCAGTGCTGGCCGCAACGAGGATGATCACCTCGAAAGCCCTATATCCGATGCACTGCTAGTAGCAAAGACAGCTGGCGATGTGGGTCTTTGCAGCGACAGGGTTTTCACAGTTACTGATGCCGCCGAGCCTTGCAGCCAAGCCACGGTTAAGTCTGCGCTCATGAGCGCAGCTAGGAAGCTGCACAAGAACTCCAACTTGCTGGTCTATTTCGGAGGTCACGGAGCTTGTGGCCCGTCTGGCTACACTCTTGTGTGTCCTCGTGGTCTGCGGCATCTTGACGACAGCTTTTACCTCGAAGATCTGGTGGCCAGAGTAGTGGATGAATGTGGCTGCCGTTCGGTAGGAGTTCTTGTTATTTCAGCGGCTTGCAGGCCGGAGGCAAGACACGTGATCCAGGATGGCTTGGATGACCTTGCTGAAATGCTCATCAGCGATGAAGTTGACATGGAGTTCCACCAGGCACATGAAACTAATACGTACATCCATGCCTGGGCCTGTCAGAGAGGCCAAAGCATGGAGGATACTTGCATTTTTGCTGAATCCCTTTGTTTTTTGCTTCGTCAGCGGCCTCAATATGTGCAGTATTTGCTCAGCAGCTTGCAAAGTGAGGCATTTTTTATGACTCTTGGGGAGGTTGCTGTTCAAAAGACAGAAGCAGCGGCTCTCATGCCTTTGCTTCAAGGCGGGAAAATGCCTTCAGCTCTGCGTTTGGATGATGCAGAGTTGCATGGCGGAGGATTATTCAGGCAGCACTTGCGAGGATTGCTTCACGGAGACCTCCGAGAGAAGCGTTTAAACTATGAGGTTGCCAGAGACACAGCAGTGAGAACTGTGGAGGAGCTGTGTCGGCATAAGCCTTGGGAGCTAAAGGTTGAGACTCAGTTTGAACTCCTGACCTCGGCCACACTCCAGCAATTCCATGATGCTCTTTGCAGAATTGCAGGCGATAACACAGGCGGTACTGGTAGCTCAGGATTGGGCACTGGCTTAGTGGATTTCAGAACTGAAAGTTCCGAAGATGAGGCCACCGATTGCACAGTTCGTGAAGCACTTCAAAACATTCCTTTCAGTGTGCTGGAGCTGGTGTTGAAGCTCAGCCGCGAAGAGACCGTGGATCACTTGGTTGTGAGACAAATGCTGGACGTGCTGGGAGACCTCACTCGAAAAAGTAAAGCGCTTTTGTCTAATCTTTGTAGATGTTGGAACATGTGCGAGCCAGCTGGTAGGTAACAGAACTGATTCACACGCTGCAGCTTCAATCTGTTTATCTGAGCCTAGGAAGAGCTTATTCACAGATGAGTGTGGACGACCTGAGAACTGCATGCGAAGAAGCCGCTGGCTGGTCGTGGTGTCCATTCGCTGTGTCCTCGCAGAGTACGCCATGCATCGACTTGGAGGCTCACCGATTGGCAAAGGCGGTGTGGAGAGGGTGTCAGACACTTGGCATCCAGGATGCGAGGGTTTTGGTAGCAGAGTCCTCTGCATGGATTTTTCTACTGACTCCCAAGAGGCTGTCCAAGGAACAGCGCGTCGGCATCGTGAGCTGTGTCTCTGAGTTTATGGACAAGCTGAAGGCCAAGGCGCTGGTCTGGAGGTCTGCAACACCTCCTGAAGAACAAGCGCTTCATTTTGTGCCACCGGGATTGCGCAGCCTTCTCCAGACTGTCCAATGCATGGGAAAGATAATTCGGCTTCCGCCGACTTTGGTGCTGAACGTGCGAGGCTTCCGACGCCTTGCTCTCGACTGGCTACGTGCTCGCAAGTATCCTGGACTGCAGGACACGAATTGCTATGACTAATAGGTTCGAGAGATCTGCTTCGAACTTTGGGGGTGCTTCATGGCCTACAGTATGTATGTGTGAATGCACCGACGTATGTATGATCATGTGTGTACGTACGTACGTATATATGTCTGATAGGCATGCACGCATGTGTGCACTTGTGCATGTCATGTGTGCATGTCTGCCTGCCTGCCTGCCTGCTGCCTGCCTGCCTGCTTGGCCGGCTGGCTGGCTGTCTGTCTGTCTGTCTGAGCTTGTCTTGTCTCTCCACAGACGAGGAGGCTGCTGGTCCTGCAGTATTGCGTGCTGCTGTTTGAGTTGTCTTTGCATGTCCTCCACACTGCCTGGACGAAACGGTTTGAAAGCACGGAGCAGGGAGCATAGGATCAGCCACAGACATCAAGACAGGCAGACATACAACAGGAAAAGACCAGAGATGCAACGACAGGAGTGACATGAGAGTAAGCACAGACTAGCTTGTTAATACGGAGAGAGAGAGAGAGAGAGAGTGAGTGAGGGACAATCCACCAGAAGACTTGAAAGACGAGAGTGACGAGAGGGTGTCCAGGTGCTAAGTGAACGATTGCAACGGATGCATGTTTCACAGAAGAAGGAAGCGCAATATGTGTGGATTCACATCATTCCAACGCGCTGCGCGGACATGTATCCTCTAAGCTTCCACAAGGAGAAAATTGAGAAACATGGGACCCATCATGCACAGAGCAGCTGAAGCGTCGCAGCCATGCGGAACGCGAGAGTCATCAGCAACGAGAAGACACGGGCTGAAGGAAGTCAGGAACGAGAGTGGGAAGGGGACATGCTCGAGGGTGAAGGACAACAAATTGAAGGCATGCATGTCGGCTTTGGGGCAGTGCGCTGTCCCGACACAGCCCCTACAATCAGTGTCATAGCTATCGGTCTTGTCGTGCTCATGTAGTGTAGAACAGCAATCAGCTATCTATTCTGTGGTCCAGGAGTGGCAGCTGCGCTTTGTCATGGATGGTGCTGATCTGCACAGTCATGCATGGCTGACGACAGCCAGGGGCCTCCGAATCGTTGTAATGCGGGACTGGACAGCCGCGATGTCGCAGTCAAGGTGTTTGCAGCATGTAATTGCTCCAATGTTTTTCGAATATTCAATGGATTCAGGGAGTCGATGCAAAAATGATGTATTTCTACGTTGCACGTGGACGTTGGGATCGCTTGCACACTGTTGCATAGCTGCTGAGCAAGCTGCTGGATCCGAAAGCGGCAAGGTTGCCGAATCTATTCTTTACTACTCGAGCTCCCGGGGGTGTTTCGAGGTATGCCTGTGGGAGCTGTGTTGTCACCTGGCCAACCGCCAAAGCTTGAACTTGGTTAGTACGGATGAGGAAGAGGTTAGCTATGCCCTGGTTGGGTAACATTTTACATTTTTAAGNNGGTACTTAAACCCAATAAGGAATAGAAATTTAAATTTTTGATACTACCCCAACCATGAACTAGTTAGTACGGATGCGGAAGAGCCAGCAAACCATGGTAAGCGGCTCGTCGACGATTCCACCTAAACCAGGAGCTACCCAGTTATGCTGGACACCACCGTACTCTTGATTGGCTTCGCGAGTTGATTGCACTTGACGAACGATGTCGCCAAGTGCACAGGCGGATGCCAGTGCGCATGCGGATGCAGCACAGCTACACCAATACTGGCCGCTGTGTCCTGCATTGATGCATTGCAGATGTAATCGTGCCACAACGAGGCAGTCCCGCCGTGCATCTAAGCACGGGCTAGGCCAGCCAATCGGTTGGCTGGGAAAAGCACCCGGAGTCCATGCCAGAAACAGTCCAATGGCGTGTGTTCCACTGTCAGCGTGAGTCCTTCCGCAGAGTCGTGTGCAAAGGTGATGAAAGTCTCATTTCCTGGTGGCTATCCCAAAGTCGCTCGCTCCAGCAACGTGTTTCTGATCTTTGTCTGTGAGTTTTCAGCTTGTATAAAAAACGATATGTCCCAGCACGTGATGCAGTTCCTCATGCTACGGCGAATCTGCTACCTCCTCACGGATGCAGGTCAGGCAACGGCAATGTCGAGCACCAGTTCCTTGTTCTACAAACCCAGAACAAGGAGTCTTGCACACGGCTTCCGTGTCCAGGGATAAGAGGTTGAATGGATTCTGAGCCATCCAAAAACAAAGCCTGAGATTCGAGTACCTGTGCTGTATACTCGGGTGCCCCAAGCTAATGCTCTCATATCACGGATGTACTACATATGGGTGGTGCCCTCAGTTCTTGCAGCTTGCCATGCTAGTCCTGCTTTCGAAGTCTTGCTGAACCCTTGCTTCAATGCTCATACCTCGAACGAGAAGACTGTGAGGCCTGACACCTTTAACACAGCAAAGCACGACGCAGCCACCTCAATGCCCGATATGCCACCAAACCAATCAAGCTCCAACAGTGGGCTCAGGTCTCAAAGCATTGAAACCCCTGATGCTCCGAATGCCACAGCTCTGGCACTCCTCCGGCAAATGCCTTCAGCTGCAGGCCCAGCCCAACACCCTAAACCGAACCCGTCGGGCGGAACTCGGTACTTCATCCCAAAGCCGAGGCCCTGTACAGTTTCCGGAAAGCTGTGCCAAAAACGCTAACCGTCAAGAACCTAGAAGAAAAAGGTATATTCCTTGGTTACGGAACCCACGTGCAGGAATCTTGTGAAACCCTAAACCCTAAACCCTAAAGCCGTATTTAGGAAGTTTCCAAACCGGAGCCTGTGCGACAGGAGCCAAAGATGGTGCACGCCCTTGAGCTGAGCCTGCCGGGCAACGATGCCGGTCCACGCCGGCATCTGAGGAGTGTTTGTTTGTTTATTGAGCCCTAAACCCCTGAACCCTAAACCTTTTCAACCCTAAACCCGAACACTGAACCCTAAAACCCTACAAACCCTGAACCCTAAACCCTAAACCTTAGGGAAGGCTCTAGGATCTCAGGGTTTCGAGTCTGGTGTTTCTAGGAATAACCGGGAGAACTACATGGTGTGAAGGTCCGAAGTGTTTGAAGGTCAAAGTGATAATGGGATTCTGACGTCATGGGGTTCCCGAAGTGTTGGAGCGTGGAGTTTGGCTCTGTGGTGTCACTAGATTACGGGGCTGAGAGTTTTTCGATTTATTGGCAGGTTTCTGGATCTTACGATTCCAATTCCAGCTGGGCTGGGTGGTGGGATGCTCGACTAGCATGCGTTACACTTGGATTCTGCGAATATGCAAGGCTTTTTTCGTGCGCTCTCGCGGTCCGTTAGCATGTCTACACGATTGAACTTCGAGCTCCTACAGCAAGAACACCCTTATTCACGGGACGAGTGCCTGAAGCACCCCGAACATTACTCTTCGGCAGCCTAATCCGTGGTTTTGGGAGCCTTGACTTGAGTACCGAGCCCTGGGGCAACACTGCTGTATAGGAAGAATCTACATTCAAAGCAGCCCCTGATGTTGGAACCTGATCCAGAGCTCCTTCTCCAATCTGTGTTGAAAAGATCCGCATATCTGGAACCCTAGTACAAACCGAGGGTTTCATTCGTATTCAGCATCCTACATTCAAACATTCAACAGCGAAAGCCCATCGACCCGTAACCCCCTAAAGCCCTCGCCCCAGAGCTCCGCTCCGAGCTTTCAAGAACCCAGAAGCCTAGCAAAACGCCGAGATGCCAAAACCCTAAAAGCCCAGAACCTAGAACCTCCCACATCTCTTAGCCCACTATGGACCAGACTTCAAAACCCAAAAGCCCGGAACTCCGCATTCCGAGCTTTCAGGTGCCTGTAAGCTGCAGTACTCGACCGAGCCATGCACCGAGCGGGCAAGCGAAGCATGTAGAAGCTGACAGATAAACCGTGCCACATTTATCTATCATAAACAACATAGGCTTTAGTGTTAATGAGGTTTCATGAGAGCATAGGTGTTTAGGGTTTATGGTTGCGATCCAGGAATATACAACAGTTCCCATAGTTTTGGATACTCGGGATGATGCAGGACATGGGTGTCTCTGATGTTTCCAGCCGGCAAGCGGCGGTTTGGGTCGAGTGGCTACATGACAGGGCCTTTTAGGGGTGTCGTTTTTCTCAGACATCGGACTTGCCCTAACCCTCCAGGTACCTACTATGTAGGGCCCTAGGGGCTCTACCCTAACCCTAAACCTCTAGTACCTCTACAGTAGGTACCTGGAGGCTTAGGGTTGGGCAGGCTGAGAGCTTTCGACAGTGTCAGCCGAGATCTTCCGAAGAGGAAGAGCCCGAAGCCGAATTCCCCAAAGCCCTCTGCTGAATAATCTTCAGGCCCGAACCTCTGCAAAGCTTCCTGGGGCCTCTGACTCTGAAACTTGTTCTAGCTTTTGGTGCCTTTTGAATGTCTGGCGGGTTCGTGTATAATCGAACTGTTCTTGTGGCACCGGCGAGTCTACTGGACAACGACGGCGTGGATAACAGACACCAGCCGAGTACTATGTGGCTGTGGGTCTTACCACAATGAGAGTCACGGAAGCAACCACAAACTCAATCTGGTTGCCTCAAGCAGCCTCGAGCCCGAAACTCAAACAGCTTCTGAAGCCTCTTCTCATCAGGAGTGCCGATGGCCCATGGGTTGATGTCAGGGGCTTGGTACACAGGGAGGAAGTGTCTAAGGAATTAGGTTTGAGGGGTTCAGTGTTCGGAGAATCTGGAATCCAAATCCAGCTGCCAAAGCCTCAGCATGCCTGCAACACCAGAATCAGAACTGACTGGAGAACGCCGAGCTGACATTCCAGACAAGAGAGACACACTCTGAAATTTGAAACTCCGACAACAGTGCTACCACCGCAACGTGCAACACCTTAATCGCCTGAAACACACTGAAATTCGAAGTACACATGATTGCAAACCTCCCGAGGAACCGATCCTAGTTAACATGAAGCAACTACAAAGGAACCAGAACGGTTCTATAACCCCGTAAACCCTACATGTGGTTCATGCCTTTGTTTGGGCCGAGGCCTGGAACTTCCAGGTGGCGTCGAAGACGGCGCCAGCCTTGGTCGCATATCAAGTTTTGGAGACTTTGTTTGCGGCTTTATAGGGTTCATAGGGTGGGTAGGGTTCGCACAGTCCGAACACGAATTTTCACAATTTAATTTTGCATATCGAAGACGCGGGCTTCGCCGCTGAGGTAGCACGAGATGTCAGAATGTCCGTACCCCTGGGTCTAGAGGCCTTCGGAAGTAACTCCCTAGAACATTAATTGCTTGTGCTCTGGGGTAAGGGCCCCACGCATGGACGACTGATTGCGGGTTTTGGTCATCCTTAATTGGCTCTAAGGCTTCCAGGGTTCAGGGCTTCGGATTAAGGTAACATAGGGGCCTACATAGTTACCTATACTATATTGTGGGCTCCTCATTATAACTATAATATAATGGGCCCCAGTACCCTATTTTTAATATTGAGGCCCCTATATTAATACAGCATATAGACCGAGACTTTGAATTCGAACGTTGTATGAGGGCCATCAAGGCCTACTTCCTCCATACTTGCGTCAGGACGTCAAGTGCCGGACTACTTTCGACACTGGCAGCACCGTCACAAAGGACTTTAAGGACCCGGCTTGCTGATGGCGCCATGTATGCCTGGGGAGCTGCTTGTAAATTAGGCATCCAATTCTGTCATGAGAAATTTTGAGGAGTTGTGTTCAAAACAGGCTTCCCCATCAACGGCAAGGTGCTTATATTATAATGTCTCATACAAGTTACTGCAAGCAAAGATCTCCACCGCAGCCATTGCCAGATAAAAGCGTGCCTCCAGACGCGGCGGGACCATTTCAGGTCCCATTCGACGACAACATGAGCCTTAACGTGAACCGCTGCGCCGTTGTGCTGGACGTTCGAGAGCAGTGGGAGTGGGATCAAGGGCACGTCAGCTGCGCAACGCGTCTTCAGGTGCAGAAGAGACTCGAATGCAGTCAGCTCAATTTGACAGCTCTGTGAGAGTTGTTGTGTTGTCGAGTATTCCCAAGACGGAAGCAACACTTTGAATCTCCGGCGCCTACAAAGCGTGAATCTTGAAACCTAAAGGTTGAAAGCACGAACAGTCAATCTGACCCGTGTCTGATGCGCTTGATTTGTGTTCAGTTTTTGGATCGTTGCAAGAGGGACTTCTTGATTATTCATCAGGCCATATCCTCCCTAGCTGATTTCTTCTTCTTTTCAAAACGTCAAGAAGATGGGTGGTTATGGTGGTGATCTTTAGTATTGACGGCTTAGTCCAGATGTCATATTGAATTCATGCGCCCATCCTGGCCGATGGCATTCATGGTTGCAAACAAACCCGACCCTGACGTGAGGGTGAGTGAGTGAACGGTCCTCAGATCTCTAAGGGAGCCAGCTGGCTGGCAGCAGGCGCACCGTTCCTCCCTTTCACTCAGCCATCGGTGGTGCGTGTGGATTTAAGTTAAGATTCACTTAGGATTACGGTGCAGTTGCTTAGGACTTCTGCTGGGTGTTCAATCTAACATGGGCTTCTGAAGAATATACAGGGCTTCTGTTGGGTTTTTTCGTCGTTCCGTAAAGAGTTTCCATGAGTATCACCCCTAAACCTTAAATCCCAAACCCTAAACCCGAAGTCTTTGAGGGTCTCAGATCGGCTGAGCGGCTGAAGGATCTTCGTCAACATGTCGTTACTCCTGGGTGGCAACATGGGTTTACAGAGATGTAAGGTGTTCTAATTCAGGAACTTATCTACGGCACCATGCCAAGGACAGTATGGTATTTGCCATCAAGATTTCTGGTAACTTGAACGACGTTTCTGAGAGCCAGAACTTAGTATCCGGGATAGCCGTACTTCGCATGTCACGTAAAGCCGTCATAAGAGGTCCAGTGAAACATGCTCGTGAACGCTGAATGTCCGGGCTTTAGGCTTTATAGAAGCCTGTTTCAGCTGTGGGATAAGGGTTTAGAGTTCGTAAGCCTTTAAGGTTTGGGGTTTCGGGCAATAGGGCTGTAGTTTGGGATGTACTGTTGGAGTTTGGGGGGTGCGGAGCCTTGGAAATTGAGTCGCTTCTAATGTGCTTGGGCTTCAACGCTTGTGGCTACAGCGGATTTGGTGTAGCGGGGTTTGAGGCTTGTGATCCTAGGAACCTCCTGGAAAAATCGATAGGACCGTCATTCCTGCCTGTAGAAACAGGGGTTCTGAAATCAACTCAAGACGCGTATCCCCTCCGGAAAGTGGAGCTGAAGCACGCAATTAGATGATCCACGGAGCTTGATCTGTAAACCTAAGCCTCAACCGTCCGGAGCAGGCTGTGGCTGACTTGGCAGAGAAGGCCCGCATTTCACCGGGAGTGAGCTTGAAGGTGACTGGATGGCTTTTAGTTGGTGCCCAGGGCTCAGGGTACTGCAGTGAACAGGTGCACATGTTGAAGGAGCTGTTGAATTCTGGTACGGTTTCCCGGCATTTCGCAGGACACCCCAATCGTTGCCTACTGCGCGGCCGGGGTGCGTGCCCAAACTGCGGTGCTGCTGCTCCAGGTAGAGGCAGGTGGGATCACCTCCCAGGGCTCTGCATTTAAGTTTGAAGAGTGCAAGACTGGGCTCTTCTGGAAGATTTCCGGGAACCTGCTTTAACCAACTCCGTAAAAATGGCTCTAAGATGGCTTCAAGAACGTGTAAAGCTCTATCCGTAAGTTCAGCACACCCCTGCCCGAAAGCCTAAACCCACAGTCTAAGTTCTTGATTTCGTAGAAGAAGCGCAAGACAGGAGGCTAGGTCTTCAGTGATGACGACTACTGCTACTGTGGCTGCTGCTATGCCACTGCCACTGCACCTACCACTCCTATTCCCACACCACGAAAACCAAGAAACGGATGCAGTTTTGCCCCAAAAGCCGGAACCTCAAGCCCCAAGACGGCCAGGGCTACAGCGACGTGGCCAATGGAGGTGGCTATAGCTCACAGCTGGAAGGCCGGGTTTCCGAAAGGATCCGAAGGAAAGTTCGCAGTAAGCTTAAAGATCGCAATAATTGCCATATATATATATATATA